CACTCGACGACCACAATGATCGATACCAACCATATCGAGTGAGTTGATACATTGTAATGACACCAGATATGCGATATCAACAGTGTAATATGGTATACTACAGCGAGTATACCAATGACTCGTCATTTTTGAACTAATTAAACTGGTCGAGTTGATCAGATCTGATATCAACACACAACTATTTTGTTAATCTCGGTATTCTACTTGATACATGATGTGTAAATACGACTTGTCAACTGATATTATATCAACAAAACACATGTATGTCAGGATCATCAATTTGTACAGGCATATAATATATAACCAAGTATATTTAAAATACAAGTGTCGAGGTACAATGATATCAGCAAGCATGTTGATCAAGACTGGAGTGATCAAACTCAACACATGTATGCTCAATGCATTGTATTGTAATGCATTGTAATGTATTGTAATGTAATGCATTGTAGTGTATTTATTACAAGTTGAATCAGTAATGCGGTTGTAGAATGACAGTCGATTAGATTAGAACCAGTTCGGATTAGCACTCGAATCAATAACTCGCGATCTTCATTTTAATGCCGACTTAAGAACGATCGGCCTTCCATGTAAGACTGGATGAAGCTGTGTGTTGACTGGGTGGAACACTGGAAGATGTTTGAGTAGGATGAACTATAGATGGACTCATCGATGACGATTGGGTAATATCAGGATCTTCCAAGACCTTGGGGAAATTTTGAGGGTTGCGCACTACATCTTGATACGATGGAAGTTGATCACCTGGGCCCTCTTGAGTCACTCTATAGAATCTAGGTTTCTTCATTACAACTTCATATGATGGTGGTGGACCATGAGGTCGTGATGATGAACCTTGCGTTCCACTAGTAGAGGCACCCTCGGAATCTGTTGATGAACTCGGTATGCCAGGGTAAAATTGACTAAAACAATCCAGAAAGTCCCGATTTGTTAAAAGGGTTATGATTTGCCCACTACTAACCCGTCCAAGACTGAAGCTGAAACCACCAAAAAATTTTCTTGCAAGTTTTCGTTCGGCTAAACGCAACTTCTTGCATTCAGCATAATATTCTCTATTGCATACTATCTGCTGGTTTTGAAGATTTGCAAGAACACTATTCTCATTTTGAAGGAGAGATTGAGTTTCTGTATAGTCTGGACCACCATCACTTGGCGTAGTTACAGGCGACATTAACTCGATTCTTTCACGCAGATTTTTTACCACTGTTTTTTGATCAACAATTTCTGTTAATATCAACTTGCATTTTTCACGTATTAGCTCGACATCATATTTCGCTTTTGCGTATTTTTTGACTGCCTTTTTTCTTCTTTTTGAATAATCACCACAATTAACCGAGTTTACATTTAAATCAAGAAATGTCGAAGTGCCGGGATAAATAGTTGCAGAACTAGACTCGAAGTTTGCAGTCCTACTGGGAACAACTGGAGTAGCTGTAGTAACTGAACAAGCAATCAGCGTTGATGACAATATAGCAATCAGTAACTTCATCATAGTAGTTTGGTCGAGTGAGTTGTAGATGATTGTCATTCAACAAGTTTCTTTTTGGATTGCATTTATATGTATTAAATGAATGATATTAAAAGCATGTTCCTTAAATGGCCGTCACAAGGGACTATTGTTGTTGTCAGGGTTGGAGTTGGAGTTGATGTAGATTTACTGTCGAGTGTCAAAGCAACTTTAAAGGGATATCCATTCATGTAATGATCCGCAATCTTGGTTGAGCTGATGTTTGGTTGTGCGCTCAATTATTTATGGTTGATTGATTGCGCATCTCCTATCCTTCCACTCTAAAGTGGAACAGTATGCCACAATATAGGAAAGCAAGTTGGGTTCAAAATAATGTCATATAACTATATGTAACTGAGCTGACATTCAGTTGATATGACGGTCATCGATGTGTTGTGATATTGTATGGTTTACAATCACAGTTGATTGACATGATTCAAACATGTGGTTTGGTGATACTTTACATTCAACTCGGCACGATCAATCATAACTACACATTGTCCAGTAATTCAATCAATCAACTGAATCAATACAATGTAGTTCATGTTGCAATCACAATGCCACATCATGATCATATGTCATGGTTGACTCGTATTCTGGATTGATGCACTCATTCCATCACTTGAGCAACTCGTTGTATGGCTCGTATATACACTGCAATTGGATCCAGTCATTCGACATTACAATATTGTCCACATGCAATCTGATTGTGATGATGGTTGTCGTGTCAGTATATGTCAAGTATGTACATTCGAGTAATCAAGCCATACATGTATATGCACACAATACATACAATGTACACCAGTTGCGTTGATCAGCATGTGTCAACTGATCAATATCGTCAACCTGGTTATACACGCATTTGACATGTACATCTGGACAGTGATCATTGTACAATCAAGATTGTTGTGCAAACCATATATGACCAGTCATGA